CAGGGAACTAGCCTGGGTTGCTGTTAAGGAACTTAATTAAGTTACTATATTGGGGAAACCCTATTATTTACTATATATACCCATTATGGTAACTTAATTTAAGTTCCTAAACAGCAACCCAGTAGTTTATGGATTTAGGACTTGTGGTTGAGTGGTGCGAGATCTGGACCCAGCGGCTTAGTGATGAGGGTCTTGAGATATGAGATGTTTGGCCAGGATTCATGACTCTCTTGGAGGTGCCGAGCACGTAGAGATCGTAACACCTTTTATGCTCGGTATGTTGAAACAGCAGCACAGGCCTCCTACAGAAGAAGGCTCTTCGAGGATCATCATTTCGCCGGCTCACCGGTACGTATAGCAAAAGCAATACGCAGTGCGTTCTGGCCGATTTTTGAGTCAATGATGGAAATGGTAGCTCACGTACAGAGTACAGGTGGCCCCAGTCATGACGCAAAAGATTGCGATTGCAGATCAACTTTTCACATGTCAAGTGTGGTATTGTGAAAAGGGTGTTATGTGGGCGATCAAACCCATACGACAAAAAAATTAAGCTAGGTGCCCGACAAATGTCAATGTTTTGTACCGAATTTGTTATGGTGCCCGTGCAGTCTCCCCATGCGCTAGTTGAGCAGATGGCTCATGTGGCAGGCTGACTGTTCCTCCACGGGAGTTTCTCGAAATATTCCCTCTGTGCACGGCCAGATCCTGTACCCATAATATATCCTATGCTCTCTGAAGCACCCTCTAGTTTGAGGAGTCCCGACGTGTTACCTGCGCAGGAGGCACGCGCGGAGTATGTCGCACAGGAGGACCGAATAGCAATTTAGGAGGGTTGCATACTCCCCCTCCTTATTTACTGAGCGGATTGGGAAGTTGGTAGGTGGCTTCATTCTGGCCCAGGTCAAATGTACCAGGCCTGCATCTGGCTCTCTATTCCAAGAGGTATTAAATTTAGTGTGAGAGGGATTTTCCCCACTGTGGCGAGGTGACTGTAGCTTAAGAGCTGTATAACTGGGTTTATCATTGCGTAGACTCGAATCCTGGACGTCTTCTTCAGGCGGCTACCACGGCATGTTTATGTCCTGCATTACTGTTCAAAAGCATCCGAGTAGCCACATAGCCAGAAGCTCTAAACCCTAAATCTCGTTGAGACAAGCCAGTGAAGCATTGTATGAGTTATGAGTCCCAAAGCATGGGGTGTAGTTCTATCTATGTTCCAAGGGCCAGACCTTGTGCGGATGTACTTTTCAGTGATCCTTTCCAGACATTCTCCGACGTCAGCTAGTACTGGGTATGCCCGGACCTTTCCTTTCCCAGTGCATAGGCAGAATACTGGGTTGCTGTTCAGGAACTTTTTCATTCAAAGCTGACTATAATAAGGAAACCCTGTTATCTACCATATACCCATACTAGCGGCAACCCAGAATAGCAGAGTCCTTAATATGAGAGCCCCAAATCTGCCGGTCCGCTGGTTTTGAGGCATCTCAATGTGGGTGGTTCACAAGATTCAGGATACCAGTTTGGCGGTCCCCATAATGAGGGATTAGAATATTTTGGGGTCTATACTCAAAACTCCAAACCCCTAAACCCCTAAACCCTAAACCCAAAACTTGATGGAAACTACCATGTGCTACAAAGTCTTGAGGCTGATGAGTCGAGGATTTGGGTTGTAGAATGTTTCTGTTTACGCTTTAGGCTGTGGGGTTTGAGGCTCAGGGTTTGCCTAGACCCTAAAGAGGGTTCAGGGCCTAGAGTTGGGTGGTTGGATGCTGCTCTCGTACCTGAAACATGAGGACTGTGGAGGGATTTCTCTCCGGGCACCGGTGCCCAAACTAGTATAGAACCGTGAAGCGACTCGACCAAGACTATTGCGTTTTAAGACAAAGCTTCTATGGAGTTTCATGTGTTGTTGCCGGGATAAGATTTGGTGTGCCCTGTGGTGGTGGGCTCTTAGTTCCTGATTGTCACTTCAGACTCTGAAGTTGTTTTGATGCATCAAGCTACCTACACATTATAAACCGGCATATTCCCAGGGCTTCTACCGAGGTTTTAAGGCGTCCCCGGACTTCGCATCGCGTGCACCTCCAACCCTCACCCATACAATCCTTGTGAGTTGCATGTTGAAGGAAGCCATAAACGTACAATCCATGCAATCTGCCCGCATTTCCATCTTGGCACAGCTTAAGCCGCGGTCTAGGAGCAGTTCACCGCAAAGCTAAATGCGAATGGCGGATTCTTCGCTCACGAAGATGTACCTTGGCGAAACAGGGTTTAGGGTTCAGGCTTCAACGTCCGTGTATCCGGAAGGTTGGAAACACTGGCCTCTGGGGCCTTTCAATGCTTTCAGTGGGCATCGAGCAATAAGTGATTAAGGGCACCATATCAAGGCCCTGTCAAGGGCCAGTACTGGCAAGGTCAAATCTACCATTAATTAGTTGATTGCTCATTAATTGCTCTTAAGGGCACATACAGCTAGATGAGGTTCAGAGCTTTGGGCTCTATGTAGCTGTTAGGCTGGGTGGCCGGGCTTGTGTTTTGCCAAGGTTTCAGGCTTAGAATGGAGTAGGGCATGCGGCTGGGGCTGTCAGCACAGCGGAGCTGTTTTCAACCTGTTGTCTGGCAGTTGGAAATTGCAAGTAGGCTTTGGTATGAATTTTGCGGGATCTCGTGTTTTGTAAGCGGCATATAATAGGGACATCCACCCCAGAACCCTAGGCAGAGGGATTTTTAACAGCGATCTATTCCTCTACTCCACTCCCAGTTTACAGCCAGGTCGCGGGTGCATCTGGGTCTCCCGTGAAATCAGCGAAAACGGTTTAGGGTTTAGACTTCAAATCCTTGTGCCCAAAGCCTTTTCAACACTCTGAACATGAAAGCAAAGCCTTGCTGAAGCCCAAGCTCCTAAACACTAGGTTGTATAACCCTAGGGATCCATGTATGTAAATAATCCCTACATTGGGCCCCAAAGTCTGTAAATATTACCTACATTGGGTTCTTTGGATCCCTAGGGTAGCTTATATTCCAGTCCCCGCTCTGCACCCGAAGGGATCTTAATGTTCATTAGGACACTGCTCTGGCTCTACGCCACTTTGCAACACCTAAAAGGCTGTTCATACCAAAATCTGTCAAGTCGTGGTTTTTTGATTGGGCACACTGCGGATGTGTACGGCGGTGGTGGTGGATGTGTTCACGCAGGGCTTTCTGAGTGAACTAGAGAGTTGCAATGTGAGGGTTTTGTCTAGCTGGTGCGCGCTTCCGAAAGCATCAACTGCTTAGTTGCGAGTGCATAATCAGGAGAGACAGTCATTGGTCCGGGAGTTTGAACAGTGGTGGTAATAGAAATGGTACTAGGAGTAGTAGGAGTAGAAACACCGCAAAACCCATGTTCAAGCTATCTGCCTTCATCGAACTCTTGTGCCTCAAGCCTAACGCAGAGGCTTGGCTTTGGGCACGTTCTACACCTGGTGTCCTAGGGCGTATAGTGTACCCAACCCTGCACTGCATCTTGGTAGAAATCCTGGAAAAAAGCACGCAAAACCCCAACAGGGACTACAGTAGAGGGTCCAGGTAGAGCTATCGGGTTCTGGGCATCTATGGGGTGGAGCCGTGTGGAAGGAAGTGGTGAACATGACGGGCAAAATTCGAGAGGTCGACTACAAGATTGAAGCTTGACCAAAATGGCAGGGTCTAAGGGTTTACGGTTTGAGGGCTTCGGGCTTGTGATCTGCTTGGCTTCTGCACTTCGCAAGTACTGGAACCCCCCTGACCGGCTACGAGGGGTGGATGTGCTTGAGAAAACGGGCGTCAAGGAACCCAAAGGAACCCAACGCACAATGGCTAGGCGTTCGATTCAACGTCCGCATATGTACACACTCGTATATACAACACGAGATTGTCGTTTTTTGAATGTGCTATATTGTCTTGATGGGGTTCAGCAAGTGAGAGAATTTTGATTTTGTCCGACATTGTCCTTGTCGGCCCCTGCGCGGCTTCATGACCTTACGACTCCATCATGCAACCCATCAAGCCAAAATAGTGAAAGTCCGTAGGATATGGGGGGAATCTGTGGCCAGAAAGGTGAGCCAGGATCGGTACTTCAGGCTGGGGATTCAGGGCCCGATGATTCGTTTTCATTTTACGGTTGCAAGTGTTGTTGGAGTTGCCCTACGCAATCCGCACACAGAGGTTTATATCCAGAGTTTTTTGTGCAAGGGGGTTGATGCCTGAAAACAATCCCAAACTCTATAGATCCCAGACTCTGAAACGCCGAAGTTGAAAAACAAAGCCCAAACAGTGCCATAAGCCGCGGTAGAATTCCGTGCGGGATCTGCATGTGTAGTCTGCTAAAAACTTCCCAAAAATCAGATTAAAGGTCTAGGGGAAAAAGAAGGTGGAGAATCTAAGACCCTAGAGTTTCTAAGTTGTCAAGAACATACTACTGGACTGTTCTGTCATTCTCACAGCTCGCGGTCCGTTCGAGGAAACGGGTACAGTATGGCACCTGGAGACTGGAAACGGGATCCGGAAGCCATCTACAAAATCTGTTTCATGTGATGGCAATACCCTTAGACCATGCAATCAGCAAGGGTATTCCGATCCCGGTGTCCAGGTTCTGGCCAACGTGAGTAGCCTTCAACGGTGGGGGGCATGTCAGTCGGCTTTATTGCTGTGACATTTCTCAGGACGAAGGCATGCTAAAAAACAAGGAAGACGCCTTTGCATTTTCAAATCTTCGTCCCCTAAACCCTAGACCCTAGCCGCGCTTGACCTAAGGCTGGCCTCAGACATAAGCACTACCACAACATCAAGGCAGCCGGGGGATTTACGCCGAACGTCGTGCGGCAGTCAGCCCCAAACTAGCTAGGAGCTCCAGAAATCCCTTTTACAAGGATGTAGGGTCGCTTGTGGGTTCCAAGTTTGTTATTGTTTGGTAGAAAGTGGTGCGTGGTGAGAGGGTCCTAGGGCTTCGTGTAGGCACCTGTTCGTTCCGAATGGACAGCAACAGCGCCAATCCAAGGTTCTGGTTTAGGGTTTTGGGCTTTGTTGGGATCAGTGCTTGGCATTTTGCACAGGATGTTCAGTGGGACTGAAAGAACCCAATTAAAGACTGTATGGCTTTGTAAAACATGCCGTCCGTTGCGCTGTGGCTCACGTTGCTCTGCGGGCCTTTCTAGAACTGACTTAAAGGGGGAGGCACATGAAAAAGGGAAAAACCTTTGGAAAGGCTTGTTAATGAGGATCAGACATACTCTTTAGACGCCGGTGGTGGGGCCCTTTTGAGGCCGGACTGTGCAGGAAGACTCGGAAGACTGCTCTAGGGTCATGTGAGCTACTGTTAATTTTAGCTAGCTCACTAAGGGAACCCTAGCAGTGGACATAGGGGTCCCTCTCCTCGTAGTTTAGAATAGTCCCTATCTAGTCCCTAATGAGGGACTCATATCCATGATTATCTGGAGAAATATTGACCCTAGCTCATGCGGCACCATGCTCAAACCCCAAGCACCAAACCATGTTCTTCGGGATACGACATGTGATGGGACCTAGCAGATTCACAGTTGTTTACTCAAAAAGCGGTTCCTGCAGGGTTTACTGGGTTGCTGTTAA